AAGGAAACTTTTTAAAAATCTCATTTAAAGCACCACGTTCTTAGAAATGTTTAAAATGATTGATTCTAAAAATGTTGTGTGGTGTAATGATCAAATAAAATGTACTACTGTATATTTCTTAGACCTTGAATACTTGTGAGTGTACTTATCTTGATCATTATTTGTTTTATTTTTCATTAAATCCATAAAGTTTGGGCTTTCATTCATGCCATGCTTTGTCATTTGAAGTAAATTATGTTGTCTATTCATTGCACATGTTTGCAAAATAACATTTCTGGTAACTTGTCACCACTACCAGATTTGCTGTATGTAGATAACTTGATTAGCTTGTAAAATCAGGTTTAATAAATCAAAAAATATAAGTGTTAGTTCTGGAAGCAGCAATTACATTTACCATCTTGTTTTTTGGCAGCTGGGTGTTCTTTCTACACAATCAGTTGTCACTGATTACTTGCTGTTTGTATTATATTGAACTTACTTGGGTTTATTTCATGTGCCTGGGTCTTGTCTCTCGTGGCTGCCTAGCAACAGGTCTCTCATGTACATCCCAGAGCTCTCGGTGTAATTACAGTGTTGGAACATATTGTCATTTGACTCTGCACTGAAGGTTTCGGGTGTACATTGCAGTCAAAGGGATGTGGCTAGAGGGTAAGGGCACGTTTACACAACAATGATGTGCTAAAAACTGAAAAGTTTTTCCTTTGCATTTTTCCGCATAGAGACGACAACATTGTCAAAATGAGCCCCGTTCACACAAATCTGTGAAAACGACTAAAAACACAGTATTATGCATGCCAGACTGGTAGTTGGGACCATTGTGAAGAAACACAACATGAACATGTAATACGCAAGCACATGACTTCACCGTTTTCACAAATTTGCGTTTTTGTAGTCTACACAGAGACAATAACGGTATCGTTTTCATTTTAAGGACCCAAAACGCTGTTGTCATGTAAATGACTGGCCCAAACGCGTACGTTTTAAAGTTCTGGTGCATAAGTAATTTGCTTGCTTGCATCCTTGCTGAATAAAAGTATTAATTTCAAGAGCCCGACCGATATATCATTTAGCTGATATTATCGGCCGATATGAGCCTGTCGCCGATATATCGGTATTGGCGAAAATACCGCCGATATGTCACCGATAGGAAAATTTTTTTGCAGGACATATAACGCAGATTAAATGCTTCTGAATGGTGTAATTACTTAGTTTGTTCAGCAGAGCGCGCTCCATTGTTTGCTACTGGTGACCCAGGTCACGGTAGTGTAGAGATGCGCGGATGAGCTCAAACTTCACCCGAGTCTGCTGCTTCAAATTATCCGCCCGCCACCCACCCGCACCTATATTTGATCGTCACATTACAATGATTCTAATTCTTAGTTTTGTTACAGAACATATAACGCAGATAAAATGCTTGAAATGGTGTAATTACTTAGTTTGTTCAGCAGAGCGCGCTCCATTGTTTGCTACTGGTGACCCAGGTCACGGTAGTGTAGAGATGCGCGGATGAGCTCAAACTTCACCCGAGTCTGCTGCTTCAAATTATCCGCCCGCCACCCACCCGCACCTATATTTGATCGTCACATTACAATGATTCTAATTCTTAGTTTTGCATGATGATATGATGAATGGATGGTTCATTTTTAACAGCAGATTCAGTGACGTTAGAGACTAGAGCTGATCTGCGCATCACGGCACGCGTCTGCGGCGCATTAAAGCCTGTGTTACGGCCACCGGAGCTGATCGCGGCCACTCAGTCAATGCTTATACCAGCCGCGCTGCGGCACAGAACTCATGCTTATCACATCAGTCACATCACATCGCGCGACAAAATACAATAGAATTCTATT